TGAATAATTAAACCACAGATTTAAAAACTGTATTTCAGCACCATAGTAACTTCAGGGCTTGCTGATTTTCTTGGGATGGAGGAATGTACTCTGGGCTCTGGCTGAACACTCAGGTGTATCATTCTCAATTCCAGGAGCTGGAAACAGGCTGCTGTATTGGTAGTAGCATTGGTACTGCTAACAGTCTCTCCCAATTCTTCTAAAGAGCTTGGATGGTGAAGTGTGATGCAGCTTTAGAGCATGGTGTCTCCTCTCTCCATCAGCCGCGTTAAAAGAGAAAACACAAATGTGGAGGCAGCCACAAAGGATGCCAAAGAGTCCTGACAGAGGACTCTGACAAAGAGTCCTGCACAGAAACCAGAGACTGTTTGTGGATGTTCCTGCAGCGGAATTTTTACCCCTCACTGCTCGCATCAGGTCCATTAATGTAACACACACGTGGATTTGTGATTTGTGATAGGGTAAAGCAAGCCAAAAAGCAGTGAGAACTATTTCACATTATGCTGTCATGCAGGAGGGAATTCAGGGAAGGCTCTGTCTTCTGGCCACAGCCAAAGGACTGGCTGGGGCAATTTTTCTGCTTTTTTAGAGAGCTACTTGAAGAATTTCCAGCTAACTATTTTCTTTTTTTCCCTTCTGGAAAATGCCAATTCATGAAAATCAACAAGTTTCATGGGAATATACTGTTTTTTTTCAAATAAAATATTTTCATTGCACAGAAGAGCAAAAAGCAAGCGGTGATGACAAGGTCAAGGAATGTTCTGATATTTCATTTCAAGCTTGTCAGCCTCAACATTTCATCTCACATAAAGTTTTAAACAGAGGCAAAAATGAACCATGACTTCTTTAAGTAAGGAAATTAGTTTATGGTTAACTTCTGTAGCTGTGTGGAGCTGGAAAAAGGCTGTGCTGAAAATAACTGGAAAATAACTTTTGTGAAGCTCCGTGCTGTTATCATTGTGTATCCCTAGGCATGGAACTGCAGCTCATTGCTGATGCCTTTCATACAGCTGTGCTATCCAGGCCTTGGGATTAGATGCTTTGTCTGGAAAATACACTCTCAAGCTTTAATTCACACCTACCCCTTTCAAACACTGGATTACTTGTGTGTCCCATTTTATCTTGTGGGAGTGTGACTCTAATAAATCTAATAAATCTAATAAATCTAATAAATCCTGTGGCCAGTGAGGCTCCCAGCCCATTTCTGTGAACGCTCTTGTATTCATCCTTCTGATGCGGTGAGATATAAAATATAAAAAAATATAAAAGATACAAAAACCAAGCAAGTTCAGGTTCTCTAGCTGCTCCTGTGTTCTTCTTTTAATTAGGACAATGATGTTGATTTCTTGGAGGGCTTTGAGTTGTTTTTCTTTTGTTGTGGAGCAGGAGTGAGTGGTGTTACAGGGGCTGGATGTTTGGTTTTTACACCTGCAATAAGTTTTAGAAGTTATGCTTCTCCTGGAGATCAAAATATATGTGAACATGAGATACTTTCAGAGAATAAAGTGGTTTTTTTAAAAAAATTTAGATTCCTGGTCAGCTTCTGGGCTAGAAGTATTTCTGGTTTTAGTCTAAATGAAGCAAAGGAGCCCATTTGAGCTTAATTTAATAAAAAAACTGCTCTTGAAATATGGCTTTTATGCAGAAAGCTTAGATTTTTGTAACAGAGCTATACACTGGCTGCTTCCTACATGCAAACTGTGCCCATGCTGAGGGTAGAAGTGTTAAATTCAGCACATGATTCTTGTCTGGGGATGGAAGAGCTCAGAGCCCCTGTGAGGGCCATGTGTTGAACCCCCCCTCCCCCTCCTCTGTGTGAACAGCATGAATATTGATGTCCTCTAACTTATACTCAGCCTCAACCACACAGTGTGGGTTATAGCAAACAGAAGCTGATCTCTAGATATGGTAGTCAAATAACCCTTGGGATGATCTAAATAGATAATTGAAATTATTATTAATACTAATTATTAGTATTATTATTTGATAATACCCGTATTAATATAATATATTAGGTATTATAAATATAGTATGTATATTATTTATTATTAATAATATATTGTTGATTAATAATATAGATTGTGTATATATAATATAATATAATATAATTAATGTAATGTAATGTAATGTAATGTAATGTAATATAATATACTATGATAATATAATATAATATAATATAATATAATATAATATAATATAATATAATATAATATAATATAATATAATATAATATAATATAATATAATATAATATAATATAATATAATATAATATAGGTATTATAAATAATTAAGAAAATCTAATTCATTATAGTGTGTATTTATGGGCATGTGGGCCTTCAGCAGCTTTTCCTTTTTTTCCAATTGCCTTGATTATATTTTTTTTTACCTCAATTTGGTTCAGCTGAGGGAAAAGAGGTACTTATCTCCTATACTGGAGATCAGTTGCATTCACACACTGTGGATCACCTGCACACTCCAAGTGCTTTGTGAGAACGTTTCCTAGGGCTCTTTTTTTTCCACTCACACATTTTTTTTTAATTAATCAGCTCCACTAACAGGAGAGCTGCCAAGTTAACTCAGCAAGTGAAGGATGCAAGAAGACTCCCAGGTGAAGAGAGCAGCCCTTACCAGAGATTGGTCCTGGCTTGTCTGCTTGATGCCACAAAGCAGTCAATGGAAAAGCACTGAGAAACCTTCCTAGGTAGAAAATGTTCTGCACTAAGGTTTAGCATTTGGGCCTGAATTTCTTTGCTGTTTTCCTAGACTTTTGGCTTGACTCATTTGCGAGTGGCCCTTCTCCAAGAAAAATGTTATGCTGTTTCTATGGGATACACAACAAGTCGAAGTTCTTTCAGGATCTGACAATCCTGCTTTCCTTGAGTATCCTGCTGTGTGATCTAGTAACTATCTGCTAGCTGCTGGAACTGTATTCTGATCCTTGCACATAAACACAACATCTGGAAAGTGTGGACAACCCTTAGAGTTTAGCAGCTGATAAATTCCCTGAAGACACAAATCCTGTCCCAATGAGACACTTGGTGTGCTACCTACAGCTTCAGTGTGTGTGCTGGAGAACCAAGAGCTGAGGGACAGTACAAGGTGCAAGTTGGTGCCAGAGGATCCTTTGCCTTGCTTCTGACACAGAAACCATCTCCCATCACCTTCAGGGAAGGAGCTGCCCCTTCTGCTGAGCTCAGTCTCTACACTCTCAGTGTCAGTCATTAAAATCTTGGTGACATTCCTGCCAGTAATTGAGTGTATAATTCTATAGTCCTGAGCTCCAGCTACCAAAACACTTTGCCTGGTTATCTTGACTCTGCAAATCTTGTTGCAGAACCTGTAAGGAAAGTTGTGCAAGGCACTGAAGGCCCTTCAGACAGGGAATGTGGTCATGCTGGTTTATAAATCAGGATGTGAAGCTTCCATCAGTTCCCAAAGCCTTTTGATTCCACACAGGCAATATTGTAAGCTTGTGGTTTATTTCTGAATCCCTGATGTGGGAAATGAAAGATAGACAGTTTGAGCTCTTGGAGCTGCATTTTTGAGCAAGGACAAACACCCGAAAAAGAATTCAATTAAATCATAAAATGCTAGGCTTGAAATCAGGAGGTATTCTAGTATAGTCATTTTGCTTCAATCAACACTATCTCTTCCATATTTCAGAGTAACTTCCTTGTCCTCTGGGAATGTTCTTTGCAGGACAGCTCCTTGCAGGAGCTCACCTCAGAGCTGCCTGTCACTGCAATGTGCTGAAGATGAATTAAGTTCTAAAACTCTGCTTGTTCATCTTCACCCATTAGCAGGACAAATTCTGCACATTTTTTCTAACACCTATAGCTGTAGTCCCTTTGTATGCAAGCAGAAATACTGCAGGAAGGCCCTTTGGCATGGGTAGAACATTAAAATTTCTCATCTGGCTTAGGTTGTCCTAACTAAACCGTGTGCAGCAGGGTGTCTATTTGTTAACTAAATTTTCACCCTTACAGGAAAAGTAGGATGCTTTTTATTTCTTGCTTTGGATTGACTTCTGACTAGGTGTCTGTCTATAGTCTTGGTTCTTGAGAGGAAGCATCCTTAATTCTTACTGCAGCCTTAATTCTTTCTGCACTGTGATGCTTGCAGGCAGGTTTAGTGTCTCAGCCCTCCTGATTTCCACAGGAAAAGGGCATCAGGTACACTTTAAAGGGCTAATAAGTACCACTGGGATATTATTGCATGAAGATGTTCTCTGGGACAGAAGTTTCTGCAGGGGAGATCTATTTCAGATGGCTGCTTCAGTGCCAATGGGAAAAAAACATAGGGAGAGAGTTTAAAATGGACTGAGAGGAAAAACATTTTCCTTGAACCAGCTTGCAGAGTCCCCTGCATTCCATTAAGAAACATTTTATAACCTCCAGTCTTTTTAAAGCAAGAGTATGAGCCTGCCCCTCACCACGTAAAGAGCAGAATTTTCTTCTACTTCTCTTGGAAGACAATGTGCTTTTTTTGCTTTCCAGAAGGGTCCTGGTGTATTCCTGGGTCAGGCACCAAAGGTTTGGGGAGCTGGGGGTGGTGTTTAAATGCCAGAGGAAATGCAGGAGCACAGGGATATGTTCTGTAGGACAGAGTCAAGGCACCCAAGTACTGGACTCTGGCTGATCCAAGTTGAACCCTTGAGATTCCACACAGAGGACATGTTCTGCTGGATGTCCCATGAATGGACAAGACACTGGACTTTGAAGATACTGCTGGAGATGTTAGGACAAGGTACAGGGGAAGCTAGAGGTGAAGATACAAATCCTTAGCTTAAAATATTCTGATTGATGGTTTTTTCTCCCCTGGCAAACGGGCATTTCACATATTCACACCCCCAAACGTGATCTGAGCTTTATGGTCTCTTTCCTTTTACAAGAAATTTATTTTGACATTAAAATAGAGTGAGAGAAAACTGATGTGGAGGCCAAGGAGGTAGCCACAAAAGAAATCTCACCTGCTCCCAACCATTTTACACAATTACAACACACACTGACATGCTTATGTGTGGAGTCTCCCACTGATGTGGTATTCAACTATTTAAAGGTCTAAAAGCATTTATTCCCCCCAGGATTTTTTGAAGGAAACTTCTAGTCTAATAATTACATTAGAATTGAAGTGACTGACCTAAGGTTGTACAAGAAACCTCTGACAGATAGAAAATCTGAATTCAAGTCATTCAAAGACATCTACTCCTTAATGACAACTACATCATAAGACATAGGTACCCCAAACTTAATTCAGGTAGACTTTTATTTTTTATTTTATTACAAATTTACTTTGTCCTAGCTGCTGTTTGAGTAGTCTTTCCCACATAAAGAAAGAAGTTTGCCTCCCGTGAGGGCTGCCTTGCACCTTCCACGGTGTTTCTTGCAGATAGAAAAGTGGGAGAGCACTGTTCTGCTGGGCTATTAAAGATTTTATTTGAAGCCTGAAGATCAGCAAGCCTGTCCCCAAAATCATAACATTAGTACAAGAAAATGGCTTGTACTAATTTCTAATTTGTGCTAATTTCTGCTACATATAAAATAGAGGCTGTAGAAGGAAACTCTGCAAGTGGTTTCTAAGAATAGACAAAAAAAACTCCTCACAGAAAGGACATTCAGGGAAAGCTCTTTAAATTTAAGGAGAAACATTTCCCCTGACTCATAACTACATTTAACTTCCATATGTTAGAGAAGGAGGAAGTTGTGGCGTAGAGGAAATGGGAGGTTCCTCCAGTAAAAACTTCAGATGAGCAGTTGCTTCTTCAGGCATCTGCTTGTAGGATTATGCCAGACATAAAACTTTGCATCCATATGGTGCCCTGCAAACAAGGCAAACGTTGCTATACAAACATCAGCTGATTTTTTTGCACATCTTCTGTTTTCCTTCTAGCAAACGGTGCAGAGAGCCCTCTAATCTCTGCTGGGGCAGCTGGCTCCTGCCATAATTAAAGAGGAAGCAGGAAATTGAAAGGTCTGGGATAAATTGAGGTAGAGAACGATTGTGACTTGCCAAGACCACACGAGGAGTGGGAGAACCCTCAGACTTCGATTTCCCACTTTGCAGCCCCCATTGGGAGATGTGGGACATTAAAACTAGGATTGCTCTACACCAAGCACCATGAAATTTGGGAAATGGATCATTGCACTCAGTCTGGACAATCTCCTGGCTGCCCCTTTGGCACACAGGGACACAGCAAAGGATGTTTTACAGCTCAGCTCCTCAGAGTAAACCACCCTGGGCTAGGGCACAAGTGGCTGCTCACCTTCTTCTTCAGTGACTTAATGTCCCTTTCAACTGAGGGGCCCAAAATTATCAATTCTGAGAGCTCAGAATTATCAGTTCTAAAGCTCAGGTCACCTTTGGGGGTTGTTCTTCCTTTGAAGAACACTGTGGTCCTGCAGGGGTTTTGATAAGGATGTTTTAAAGCACAATGGTGTGGCTGAAGTATTTGTTTACAGGGAGACAAATCTTTCTGCTGCTTGGCTACAGACAGATAAGGTTTTTTACCTAGGAATCTGGCTGACTGTTAAAAATAAAAGAGAAATAAAAGTGAAAAAAATCTTCACAATTAATGAAAAACAACCCAAAAACAAACCCAAAGAAACAAAAAATAAAAATAAAAAAAAAACAAACTAACAACAGCAAACCCCATAAACCTGCAACACTTTGAATAGCTCTAGCTTGAAATGTTATTAAACTTCTGAATAAGCATGTTTATGTGTTATCTTCTTTTATAAGGCCTGAATACCCTTGCTTCCAAAGGAAAAGGACACTTTATGGGTGGCCCAGCACAGAGCTGTGCCTTCCAGATAAAGTGCCCTTGCAAAAGGAAGCAGCCAGGCAGAAGCAGAATGAAACATAAGCCAATAACTTAGAAATCCCAGTAAAATGAAATTTAGCTGCCCAGATTTTGCTCTCCATTTCACTGGCATTGGCTTGTGTGGCCAAGCTGTTGCAGAAGTTTCTAGATGACAGATTTTAAGAAACAATTCATTTGTTTAGCTTTAAGAACTACCCACAGTGCTGTGACTGTGGTGAAAGCAGGCCCATATCAGAAAAACATTATATTTTTGTGCCAATATTTTTTTTGTTTGTTTTTAATCCCTTTGCTGGGACTTCAAATGCCACTTGGCTGGTCTTAGATGGAGACTTTTGAAGCAGGTTAACTCAAGAAGCTTTTTGATTTGTGGAGCTGAGCACATACAAAATCATCTAGGTGGCTGAGAGCCAGATGCAGCCTTCCTTATTCACAAAAGTATTGTCATTTCTCATGAATTAACTGCATTTTTTGTCATTTGCTACCTTTTCTGCAGCCCTGACTGATGGCAGCACTGGGAGAACCTCAGCTTTGTCTGAAAGCTTGTGGAGATGTGTGTTCAGCCACTGTGATTACACAGAGAACTCTGAAGATGTTGTGCAGGTGAGTTCTGAAACCTCACACACAAATAGAAGAATCCTAATAGCTGAAATAGGAATGCAGGAATTCCTTTCCACCTTCCCCTTCTTTTACTCTGTTCCCAGGAGATTTTCTCTGTCATCCACACTTTGCACCTGTATAGCTGCCCCAAGACAAGGACTTGAATCATTTCCCTGAGCTTAATAAAACCTTCTCTTTGTGTCTCAGCATAAGATGGCAAATAACTCCAAACTGATCAAAGATTTTTCAAGTTTATAAAATAAATACCAGCAGAATTAAGAAGAGATGCTGGAAAACTAAGACCAAAGTCTCTTGCTGCCAACAACAGCTCACTGTGGTTCATTTTGAGTCCCAATTACTGGAGAAAACCGTAATGTTACTTCAGACATTTACACCAGCCTGACTTCAAGGTTAAATATTGAAATGTATGCGTTTTTTCTGGCTTCTAATTAACTGTTGGTGTAGACACACGTGGACTTCAGAACTGTCATTCATTTGCTCTGTGCACATAAACACGATCCTTGTATTCATATTAAAACTGCTCTCTTGAGCAGTTAAAATTCACTGGGAGTAGCTTGGAACATTCAGGAGAATTGGTATGAATGACACCAGAAATCAGATTATGATTCCCTAGGAGATTCAAAAATTAGAGGGAGGTGCTCTCTGCTTATATCATAGGATGGGAATTACTAAATACTCTGTATCAAAGTAGTAAAGCAGCTAAAACTGTTTTCCATTCTAAACAGATTTTAAGCCCACTTCCCAAAAAGGCTCAAGCTCTTCTCAAAATCACCTGCATCTTTTTCATATGCAAAAATATGGAAATACACTGAGGGAAATCTTCCATAAAGGAAGAGGAAAATGATGTGACATTCTAAATCTGTTGACATCTCCCATATGTTTGCTGCAGATCAGACTTCCATCACTCTCTATAGGTGTGAAATGAATATGCCTCAGATTAATAGAAGTTCTGATTTCATGCCCCTGCAAGCCCCAGGGGAGGTGATGAATCAATGCAGCTTTTGCAAAGCCAAGGTTTGAGCAGGAGAAGTCTGGCACAGAGGCATCCAGCGTGGAAGGATGTGTCCCCAGGAGCAGCAGCAGAGCTGTAAGACCCCCTTCCCACTGCTCTTCAGCAAAGGGATGACTCGAAGGGAACAGGGAATAAAGAGATACTGAGGGGAGGCAGCGGCCATCCATCAAAAACCTCCTTTGTAACAGTGCACAGAGAGCCCAGGAAAGACCCAGGGAATTTCAGACCCTTCAACTCCTGCACACAGGGACAAACACTGAAGGGGTGTTTTGTTCCACCCAGCAGATGCAGCAGGCAGAATGATTAACTCAGCACTTGCTCAGGCTGGTGATGCTGCCCTATAAATAGGTTTTAAAAGTTTTCAGTTCTTAGGGTTTAAGCAAACAAGGCACAGTTTAATGGGGATATCACAACATACAGGATCAAGAACTACATGCCAACCCAGGCCTTTTTTTCCCCACCTCTGCTTTACTCTTAGTAAAGCACAAACCAAAGTCCAAACGTGGACATACTCCCAGGGTTTTAGGATTCTGCAAAATTGAGATTGGCCTCATTCTCACTGGGATAACAAATTACTCATCATGGCAATTTTGGACAAGGTGAAAAATTTGCCATTCAAACAGTTTGCTTCAGTATTGCAGCACTGAAGCAGAAAGTGGAAGGAACTGGAGGAAGTTACTTTATAAAGAAAAATTGCATTAAATTCACTTTCTGCGTGAAGATAAAATTGAAGTTGCCCTTAAATGAATTATTTTCCCCACAGCTTGTTTCAGCAGCTGACAAACTCCAGAGCACTCATTCATTCCCTTGTTGCACTGTGGGGAAAACACAGCAGAAGAGACAATTAGCAACCTGTCTATAAGGCTCTGACTTTGGGTAATACCAAATAAAAACTCATGTCAGTGCTGTGTCGTTCACTGCATGAACACAACATTCATCTAAGCTGTAGCCCCACAGAGTAAATGCATTTTTTAATATAAATTTCCTAGTTAAACTGCACTAATGGGGCCTGTGTTGGTGGTAAATTCGTTGAGCTTTGATGGTAAGATACTTTTCACTCCTCAGATCCATCAGATCCATCAGAGGAGATTTATTATAAAGGTTCATCACACTGCTGGCCTTGCTGCAATAAAAACAGGCTATAAAGTTCCACCAAAGCCAACCAGCAGTGTCCTGCTGAGCTGCTGTAAATGCCAGCACACAGAGTGCCCCGTGCTCATCACTTGGGGCAGCCCAAACTGGAGTCTGGCCATGAATAAAGGCTTCCCCACTGCTCTGCAAGTGCTAAACCTCGGGAAGACATTTGGATTAATCATTTGGATTAATTGTTTTAAAAGCCATTTAGCTAAGACAAACATCTAAGGGTAAGGTGAACACCCAAAATGAGTTTGATGCACTGACAATGGTTTCTGGGGCTACTGCTGCATGGAATCTACTCAAGGTATTGTAATTGCTTCCCAAGCTGCTCACTGCCTCACTTGAATGTGATATTCAAGCCTGGCACTAAAAAGCCAAAATAAAAAGAAATAAAAATCAAGGAGTCACAAGAAACTGATCTTCAGTTGAAGTGGATGAA